GTGGGTCATTCCACTGACTCAGCGCAGGTAGGAGAGCCACCAGGAAAACAGGCCGTATTCCTCGCCGCGCGTACCGACGGAGAATATAGCAGCGAAAAGGTTAACAAGACAGGAAGAGCTAGAAAGTAAAAGGCCACAGCATCCAAGGCAAGTTACAATGTAGATTCTCAATATCAAATGTTTATTTATTTCAAGTAATTTATTAAAATAGTTATTCATGATACAAGTGGTAAAAGTGACCTTTTATTTTGCAAGTAGGAAAGGTTGCGACAAATGGCCAATAGGCCATGTGGCGTGCAATTCTACAAGCAAAATAAAAGCACTTTTACTACATGTGTCATACACTATTGTTTAGACAGCCTCACCAACTGTTTGTCCTTTTGATCATTTTTCCTTTCTGTCCTTTTGACCATTTGACCCCTTTCTTCCCTTTTTGGCCGTTTTTCCTTTTATGTCCCATTTGACTCTTGGTGCCTTTTGAAATCTCTGTCCCTTTTGCGCCGTCCGTCCCCTTAATGCCTTCCATCCTCTGTGTCATCTGTCCCCTCCCCTTTTGTGCCTTTGCCCCCTTTTGTGCACTTCGTCCGTTTTGGTTATTATGGTCCTTCTGGTTGAATAAAAGTATTTTGTTTTCTTAGGTGCATTCACAGATATATCAGAACACTTGAGCATGGTTTCACTTTAAGCACTAGCACTAAAAATTGTACTTTTAGCATGCAAGGCATGTCCTGAAAGAATCACTTTTAGTAGTGGCTGTCTAAAGCTCATTTCTGTTACCTTCTGAGAATCATCGTAGCTTAGAAGCTGCATACTTGGTGGTAACTGAGCATGGAATGATATTTTATTAACCCAGTCTTCCATCTCTCCCTCAGTGTTAGCCAGAAACAAAAATTCAGACCCATCTGTGCAACACAACCTGGAATTCAAACCAAATATTCTATTAGAATGAAAAACATCTTTACTAGAAAAAGCTTCTAGCAGGAAATGATGTCCATTATACTGCACAGTAAAAGTAGAACCAAATCATTAAATCACATTTGCAAGATTTAACCAGTGGCAATACGTTTTTAGTAGAAGTACCCATACTGCCACACACAAACACTGGACAAGCAACACAAACTCATTTTACCTTCAAAACTTCCTGTTATGAACACACTATATACGGTGTCATCAGTTTCACTGATTACACGTTACAAGTGATTACACTGATTACACGTTACACGATTACTTGTTACAAGTGTTGGTTTAAATAACCTGATCATTAATCAATGATTATAAATATAATTAATATTATTAATACTTGATCTGTAAAATCTTGTGTTAAAGCAAAAGATTTGTAATCAATTACTCAAAACTTGTAATTATTTAGGTCTCGTTAGATAGGATTGCTTTATAGATAATATTAAATTTCACAAACATTGGAAAAACAGCAAACCAAGCCATTCCATTTTGTTCTCTGATTAGTACTGAATAAGTAATATGATATGTAATTAAAAATGACCATCAAGTCAATAAGAATGCAATATTAAGACACTGTCACGAACAAACTTTCTTAAACACCATAACATCAAAATGAAAGTACAATTTTATAAGGGGAACAAACATGCAGGTAATACAGGAACTTCAATAATAGGAGTTAACTCTGTGAGACAGCATAAAAAGATCAGCATGTTGAGATAAAGAAATGTGAACTGGAACTATGAACTCAACTGTGAAATGGAAGTTGTAGGTGCATAGGTAGGAGAACAGCCTAAATTAGAATTTTTGACACTTTAGTTACAGATGAGCAAAAGGGAAATAATTTTTGTACAATTATAAGTTTAGTGAAACCTTTCGTCAAGCCCACCTCTTTAAGAAGACTACCCCTTTCCGATACATGTTTTTTATGGAATGGAATAATTATTCTACAAGAGCAATTTTATTGTAGTAGTCACAGCAGAAGCAGTGGTAAGTATACTTTAATAGTGAATTGTTCCCTTTAGAAAATACCAATTTTAAGGTATTAATCAGTTTAAAGAGGTTTCACTATATTTCTTTTAATGGAAGAAATATATATGGAAGAGAGAAACAACCACATGAAGAAGGAAGCTTATCATTAGCAGGGGATTAGGGTGTTTGAGTCAAGCAGTTGTGAAGTTGATCAATGATGCACAAGTGTGCAAAAATAATAATAGATGAATATGACAGATCAAGATGGACAGACATAAAGTAAGGGCATCTTAAGTTTGTGAGGGTGCATCAAATAGTTTTGTTGGTCAGAATAATTAAATTATTAAAAAACAGTTAATGTTCATGGTCAAAGGGGAATAAGTATGCAATCAGAATACCTATTAGTACTTATTTAGTCAGTAAAATATGGAAGGCAGACATTCTTGAAAAACATTGTCCAAGAATCAAGAATAACTAAAAGGTTATTGGAAGTGTTAAATAGCATTATCTAGGACAGAAGTCAGAAGTGATGGGACAAGATTTAACCAGTGGTGACCAGACTGAAGTGGAATTGGTGAACCTAAATACAGAGTCAAAGGAACAGAAGATAGTAAGGTATTGTGGTCAACATTCAAACATAAAAAGTGCATCAGCTGCTGAGTAAACGAGAAGGTAATTTTTTAAAAGAATAGCATGATTTGTACAGTAGTGTATATGTTTTAGTTTCTTGTTCCGAAAGTTATTTAGTTTCTTCTGAAGGAAAGCAAGAGTAGTAACTCATTAATTAGTTTACCTGTAGCAGAATTGAAATTGTTGAAATTAGTCTTTTTAATTAAACATTGGTATAAAAAACAAAGGGATCACTTGTTCTTTTTATTTCTGTTTAATTTTAGTTTAAACTTGCAGAACATCCAAGGGAAACCAACACCTTTAATGTATCTTGTGGTCAAACACATCATCTGCTAAATAATTTTGGCAATATAGCTCAGTAACACTCGATACTTCACTTATTAGCATTGTTATTGAAGATATATTTAGATTGTATTAGTACATTTTATATCTACTATAGATTATAATATACAGACATCATTGAGTTCTTAGATTTTATAATAGTACAAGTTCATAAAACTGATATTATTCTATAAACTGAAATTACTACAATAAAATTTACCTGAAGACATGTTTTCGTTTGGTATAATCTCCAGCTTTCTCACATCTTGCTTTATACACAATAATGGGAGATGTGGCAGCTTTACTGTTTACAAAGTCATCCAAATCTTTGAAAAAACACAGCAACTGACCACATAATACTGTAACAATAAATATTGTATTTTTAAATTCACTTTTCCATTTTTGAATAAACTGAATGAACTGAATTCATGAGTAAAGAATCAACTGTTGTAGACATTTCCATCAATCAAGGAAGATGTACTTAGAAAAGGTCACAAAAATGTATCTCAAGTGATGTAAGATGACATACTCTTAACAAGCACATTGAAAAATTAACAATAAAACAAGTAAAAACATCACTACTAAATTACATGTACCAATTGGTAATCTAACACACAAATAACCAATTTCTTAATTAAATAAGCTAATTAACTGTCAAAAACAATTTAAATTAACAAAACATCTTTCTTTTCCTTCATTCTTTTTGCAAAATCTACTTAAAATGACACACAAATCTTGGTTTGGGGTTTGGTGTGTTTTATTACCCAAAGAGCAGACAAGGAGAAAAGATTACCAGTGTAGAAAGTTTTCCAGGATCGCATGGGTGCTTTCTTGCCTCCACTCTGCAATTCATGTTTTCTATCTAAGTAGCCTTTTACTTCCACAGGTGGTAACTGTTCAGGTTCAAGCCGCTGTAATTTGCGGAAACTTTGTGTTCGACGGCGAGTTGTAAAGCTAGGAGTTCTTTTAGGTTTCTTGAGTTCCACTTTCATACTTTCTGCACGTTTAATATCTCCTGTGAAATTTAAATACAGCAAATCAATACCAACAATTTTTCTCACATATTATTAATTACTTCCTTTTTTGATTCCTTTTAATTTTAAAATCTTTCAAAGATAATTTTGAATAATTTTGTGTTTGTAAAACAAAAAGCAACAATTTATAAAATAAAGTATTTCAGATTTTTATATTTCTTCTTTAAGATGGACTTAATTGACATGTTCAGAAACTTCTTGCTCACCTCGTCTATCACCTATGTTAAGGAATTTATTCTTCTGGGGACTTTCTGTAGGCTCCAAATTCAACCTACAACATTATATTTCAATTGACAATTCCTCAGTATTTTATTGTATATAGTTTTGCAGTATATTATTTCTAAAATGTGAAATCTTTACTTACCCAATGCCAGTCTCAATTTGAGATGAACTGCCATTAATATCTTCCCTAGATCTAAGCTCCTGTATTCTCCTTCTGTCATCCTCACGCCGCCTCTCCTACAAACACAATATAGAGCTTCACATCTAGAAATTTGTTGACTGAGAGCATTGCATATACACATACATCAAAATGTAGTCACAATCTATAATCATCCAAGTCAGTAATCTAATTTTCTCCATGTAGAAATTAATTATTTAACCAGGAATTAATTAACTTGTAAATTTTTTTATGTTTGATATTCTGTCAGTAGAAATGAATTATGCACCTGACAAGACATTAAGCATTTGAATTTGTGTTTTCATTTTGAATGTTCAACGCCATCTGGTGAATCAAAATACATAAAATACTGTTACTATGAACATGATGAAAATAATGATGTGTTTTATGATGAAAATAATGATGTTTGTTATGAATAAAATAACAAAGTGCATGTAAATACTGTTTGTGGAATTATTTCAATATGTAGTTGATAATGATAACTAATAATAAGGATTACTGTATTGCATACTTTAATTAAAGATATCTTTATAGCACGAAAATAGGTATCCTCACTTCAAATTTTGACAAAATCACTTATTCATAAATGAAGAGGCAAGGCAATGGTAGTATTTCAAGCTCATTCATGTGAGGCACGAAAGAATTGGGCAAATTGCATTTACTATTGTTCTTACATCTGTAATCCGCTGCACCTCAAGCCTCTTGCGTGCCTCTATGCGTTCTCTGTCCAAACGTTCTCTCTCTGCTTGCCTCTGTGCCTGCTCCTCTTCTTGTTGTTTCTGGAAGGCTTCTTCCAACTGTTGCAAAGAAAATACATCACATTAATACTCGCACGTAATTTGCCATACATATCACCCAACATTATTAGGTGTAGAATTTATTAACATTACATCTTACGGAAAAGGAAGTATCTTTTCCTTAGTGATTTACATAAAATATTTTTAAAAGCTGTACGCACCATGGTAACTCGACGCAGTGCACCAAACTTTTCATCTTGAGCTTCGATTGTCTTTTCAAAATCATCATGTTTTTTAATAAGTTCCTCAACTTGTGGGATTGATTCACCAAGTTTACCATCATGAAGTATAGGTTCTCGAGATATAATCCAGTTTTCAAGTACATCAGCTTCTCGCTTGAATATCTGAAAAGTTGAGATAAATTGCTAGAATATATCTGAACTCAGAGAAACTATCATTAGCGAATGGATTCACAAATAAATGCATATTTTTAGGTATAGGATATATACTTTTCAATTATTTTTTTATTGTTTCCAGGAAATTCTGACTAAATTACCATTTTTACTTGACTTTTTTTTTAATTACAAATTTCTTATGTATTTAATACATTACATTTTTAATATATTTCCATATCAAAACTACACGTTTCTGATAAGAGTTTGCCAATAAATGTTTTTGGAGTTGTCTTCCAGTGAAAAAAAGCAACGTGCCTCTGCGACCTCCAGATTTAAGATATGAATTTTCACCTCTTTCCCTCTCCAAAATATCATACTAAGAATCAAGTATGATGTGAGGGAAGCAGAATTAATCACAACAATGGGCATGCTCATATTTCAGTCGGACTGAATGGAAATACACTTTAAGGAAGTGATGTAATCCATATGTGGTAACTGTTTTCAATAATTGAGTTCATGACAAAAGCATCTGATTGGGTGAGGTGGAGAAGGAGACACGGTTCCCCTACCCTGAGCTGTCATTGGCTACCCAATAAGACTTTGAAGACACATGCTCACTGTGTTTTCATAAAGAACAATCCAAACTACACAAGTTGTTTGCACATCATATAAAACCCGAATTGTGTAATGTAGACTAGTGTCCAACTACTACATTCCATATACAATGTATATTATAATATAAATATGAAAATATGGCCATAAAAATAGCTTAAAATTTTTTTGGTTGCATTTTTGAAACCTTTCCGCTGTTTAAATAAACATGTTAGTGAAAATATACTTTTAAAATCTAGTTCATTCACAATTCCTCCTTTCTCCTTCGGTGCCCTATGAAGACAATTCTACCAGCTAAAGTTATTTATAGAAGGGGTTGCCCTTAGCATAAAACCTTACAAAAATAAACTAACATTTCCTTTATATCTGGTGCTTTCTATGCTTTCTTTTTCTCATATCCCAATTCACATACACATATATTTATAGGAAAGAGAGACTACAAGTAGATACAACAATTTTCAGAAATTAGATCAGTTTGATGTGAAAAATATCTTAGAGATAAATGCAAGCAAGGATGCGAAAGTGGAATAAAAAAAAATATTTTTACAAAAAGTACGGAAAAATATGACTAATATGAAAAATTTATGGAAGATGACGAAAGGATTAAAAAAAGGCCAAAATATGACTTCATAAAACATATAAAAATTGCAAAATTTTAGCCATTGTAGATAAAATCAAGCTTAACTTACTTCTTCCATAGAAAGAAAAGAAGAAAAAGAAAAAACATGTCAAACATCCGGGACCTAAGTACCATTGATCGTGCAAGTTTTTAAAAATTTTAATTACTTTTAAATTTTTCGTATACTATTTACATTGTATAGAGAAAGTATTGTAATGTTACAGCAGAAAACAGCAATTTTGTCAACAGAAAATCCGTACTGTGGATCCCCGATTCTCCCTCCAAAAAGGATAATTATTACTCCTGTATGGAGTAAATAACTTCCTCTAATATATTGTGTTGTCAGAACCCATTAGCTCCTTGGCTGTCTAGGAGATGCATCCTAGGTGCAGGTGCCAAATTTTTTGGTCACCATCCTGAGATCTTCCTCAGGGTGAAATGCCCAAGGAAGGTCACAGAATGATAACCGAAACGTAACTTGGGTGGCTCCTCCCAGACAGCCAAGTAGTTACTGACTCCAGCTGTGCAAGCCTACACTCCTGGCACCTTGTGGGACCTTGGTACTGAAAAATTGGTTTACAGCAAAATGTTTTTCTGTATGTATGTCCATTGGACAAACAACACTATTGACAAAACTGTAGGCAGGATTTTAATTGATATTCAGCAATTAAGCTCACTGATCTTGATGCTCTTGATTTTAAATTTTGATTGTTTGTATTTTTCTAAATAATGTTTATTTGTATTTTTGAGGGTACTTTACATAAAGCCATAACATTTTCTAAATTTTCGCTAATGCTGCAAATTTTTTCTTTACATTTTTCCTTAAATACAGCAAGGGCCACTAATAAAAATAGGGGCTCCACTAGTTTCTCTTTGCTTTTAAGAATTTAATTAGAAATATTCTTCTCAAAACTAAATAAATATGTAATGTGTATATCTAACCTGTGTATCCAGATTTTGGGAATATATCTTCATACGTTGATCCCATATGTTTTGTAGAATGTTCTTTCTCTGTTCTAGAACATTTATCTTTTCTTCAATTTCATTTGCCAAGAAGTGACCCTAAAAGAATATTTACAAAATTACATTTGCACTTTTTTAATGACAATCCATTATCAATAACAAATTAGACATTACCTGCTTAATAAGGGTATTTCCTGTTTTACTGAAGTTAGCAAAGAGTTCACGCCGAGTATCTATTTCTGAGAGGTACTCTTTATGACGAGTAATAAGTGCTTCAGCTCCTGCTACATCTTGAGTAAGATCCGGAGCAGTAATTTTTGCAATCATCTCATTAATCCATGCCCTGAAAATATAATTATCTTTAAGCCAAGTTAATCCACACTTCTAAATAAAAAAGTAAAAAATACTAATCTTATATTTATGACATGGTACTGGTTATTGAGAAATTTTTACATATTTCTCAAAATGCTGTTCTGTTATATCAACTTAATAAAGCCAAACAAGTGAAAAGTCGCTATTAGCAGTCAGCATCCGATGAGATTTTTAACAGCTGCCATCCATTATGAACAAAGAAAACAAATAAACTCTAGCGAATGATGGTGCGTCAGTACTCCTATTCCAAGAAATGTTACTTCTTATTTATATGAGTTTGACTTCCTCATATACATATGTATATATGGAATAATACATGTAGTGTAAGAGAAACTTATGCAATTCCAGAAAATCGATGAAGGGATTTTAACAGATACACTTATTTTGAGGTCCCCTGTCCTCAAGATTTTTCCCTCAAAAGTACATCCATCTATGAACTACATGTGCACCTGCACTATTTTAAGATTTTTTCTAAAATAAATATCTATACATTGATTTCGCCCTGCAAATTTGAAACAAATTATATGAATTATGGGGGTACTTCTCATGAAGCTCCTCGGATATTTTCAAACTTTCCTCAACTTTGGATCAATTTTTTGACAAATTTCTTGTAAGAAGATAGTGAAATACACCTATATATAAATATGGCCTGGGTCTGATTTTCACTCTTTGAGTCTACATTTTTGATAATTGCAAAAGCTTGAAATTGTTTGGCCACCCTTGTACATCCACAATATTGAATATAGATATTTTTCCTTCAAATGAAATTTAATCAATTAGATTTTTATTTAATATCAGGTACATTTTTTAAAACATATTAGTAGTTATCATGTAATTTATAATAGCTTATAGGCTATTTTAAAAATATGATTTTATGAAAAAAGCTTGAATATTCTTCAGTAAGCGTTTTGTACGGCTAGTGCTAAATGCACTGTAAAACATAGTATAAATGCCATTTTGATGTATGTGTTTGGATTTTCAAAATTAAACAATTTTTATTAAAATATCCTTTGCATCATTAGTATTTACATTTTTATGGTAACAAATCGTAACACATTTGCAAACAGTACAGTCAAATGAGTTGGTTTTATGACACAGGGGCTTTAGAGAAATGTATCAAAGTATGTGGACACTAAGGGTGTAGTATCACATTCAACAAAAGGAATGAATGTTTAAAGTTGTAATCATGATGTTTGGGGTATTCTGAATCCTCCTGCTTTACACCTACACCCTAAACCTCCTGAACAAACACCCTAAACAATCCTGAACAAATGAAATGAAGTGAATCTTCCAACTTTCCTCCTCCTTATAGATTTTGAGAAAGCCTATGATAGGGTGGGACAGAAACTAAATCTGGGAAATATTAGAAGATGAAGAGATACCTACAGTCATAATAAAAAAATCCAGTCTGTATACACTCTTAGATTAAAATAAGAATAAATGATGGAAGCAATACAGAGACTTTCAGAACAACCAGAGGATTGAGAGAGGGGTGTGGGCTGTCACGATACCTGTTTAACACATATGCAAATCATATGATATAAAGTGGAAACAAAAAGTGAAAACCAGTATAAATTTAAACAAAAGACAAATAGTCCAAACAATTCTCTAGGCATATCAAATTATCCTAACAATGTAATCAGAAGATGACTTACAGAGGGCAGCAAATTAACTTCATAATTAGCCCTAACATGAATATGAAAACACATTTCATACATCATGAAAATCTCAACAAACAAGACTAAAGCTACGTCATTCCAAGGCAAAGAAATGAAGAGGGTTAAAATTGTTATAGATGGAAAAATAACAAAACAAGTAGCAAAATGTATGTACTTAGGAAACATCATTGGACAAAATTCAGAAGACCATGAAAGAAAAATTCAAAAATATAATCGGGTAAATGGAATAATCAAGATAACTTTTGACGAGATATGACAGCAGAGACAAAACTAAATACACAACATTACATCTAAGCCAATGTTTAATGTATGATCAGAAAATATAGATCTAACACAAAAGAAGATTGTCAGAGATTAGAGGCCACATAAACAAAACTTTTCTGGCACCTGGTAGGAACTACACGTTTAGATCGACAAAGAAACACTGAAATTAAAAGAAAACTCAAAGCAAAAAATGTAGTGGATGACATTACAGAGAACCAGAGAGAATGGGTTTTTCAATTGCGAAGAATGCAAGAGGAAAGATTTTCTAAAGCAGTTTTAAAGTATAAACTAATAGGGCAAAGAAATATAGGAAGACCAAACCATGGATTGGTCAGGAACATCTGGAGGAATAATCACCAGATCTACTGTCTTTTAAGAAGAACAGTTGCCAGACCTACTATCCTGATGTTCATGATGAAGATGATGTCAGGGAAATAAAAAGAAAATTTCCATGATTTCTTCATTATAATTCCATGCAAACACAGACCAATTCCAAAACTCAGATGTGGCAGCACAAATAATAGCAGAAAGAACTGCATAAAGAAGTGGACTATTCAAATACTTGCATAAAGAAAAAAATTCAGAATATTGATAAAATGGAAATGGGAATTTTTAGGAAGAAAAAATAAGAAACTAGCAATGAAATAATTACAAATACAATAATAATTTTTTAAAAATTAGAAAATTGTGAAAATATCTCCTTCAGACCATAAAAAAGATCCACAAAACAAATTTTGGTAGGGGAAATATTAAATACTTCAGAAAGGTGAATAACATTACTAATTCTAAGTGACTGTGTTTTAACTTAAGACTAAATTTATTTTCACTGCATTCTTTGTGGAATAGGATGAGTACATGAACATACATAAGATCACGATATTCTTCGAAGTATGCTTGAAGTTGTTCAGCTTGTTGTAGTTTATCCTTGCGTTGAGCTGCATGTTCTAAGAGTTCATTCCATGCTTCTATAGTGTCTTCATGTTTCACTTCAATGTGCTCTCTAGCATCAGGGAACAACCCAGCTAATCGTGTGGCTTCCTCTTTAACAGCTTCAACTTGCTCTCGTACTGCAGCTAGATCCGTTTCAAAACCCTGATGTTTCCTTATAAGGGCTTGAATAGTCTCCAGGTCTTGTCCATAGCCTTCAGCCACAAGATTGTTTTCTTTTTCCTGAATCCATGCTATTGTTTCATCTGCAGTACGATCAAATACATGAACTTGCTTGGCTCCTGCTAATGCCTAAATTAATTAAAGAAAAAGAAGTGAAAATAAAAATATATTTATTTATAATTAAACATAGGAATATATTCAATATTCTACTCACTTCTTGCCGAGCATGAGCTAATTCTTTCAGATCTTCCCACAACTGTTGTGTATCTTCAATCTTAGCTCGAATCCGGTCACTTTCTGGATTGTTTTCAGCGATTAACACTTGCCCAGTGGAGAGACAGGAACTCACTCGACTTTCACTGGCGCTAAGACTTGAAAGAAATGTCTCAAACTGTTGAATAAGTAACTCAACATGCTCCACATCACGACCATATTCTTCTGATGCTGTGAGTGTGGTCTGGTCTCCAACCCATTCAGCCACCTCATCTGCTTCTCGCAAAAATCGCCAAAACTTTTGAGAGCTAATTAGTCTGGTTCGTCTTTGCTCAGCCAACTTCTGAAGTTCTAAAAACTTGGCTTCAATTTCATTCTGAAACAGTATGTGTCATTAGAACTTGTGCATTTCTGTCTCTCAATTTATTAAATCAATTTTGAAAACTGACTGATATTAATTTCATTTTAGAATTCATTAATATATTTCTTAATGTATTAATGACTTTACTGCATTTACTACTAGTAATGATAAAACATGTTCACATTTAAGTAGAGGGACTTTACTTATCTTCCTAGCCCTACAATTTTACAATATGATTAATTTTTTTTCCAAATTAAAATAATAGTACATCTTTCATTATCATTTAAAGGCAGGTGAGGTATTTATGAAGAACGATGAGTGATAAAAAAGCTGGAGGAAAATTTCTTATTCCTATAAATTCACTAACTTTTCTCTCCTCCTTGAGCATATATTCAAATAATATAGAACTACCCTCTAGGAGATCCTGAAGAATACATAGAGTTAAGGTTTCAACATCACATTCTGATAACATGTTTTAGGGGCTCATTATAATTGGATGCAACATTGCATGTTGTTGTTGTTGTTTTTGTTTTTTTGGTTTGTTTTTGTTTTTGTTTTTTTCTCCATCCCAGTTTTGAGACATTTTTTATTGGTCACATTACCTGTTTGTTCATTATTGTTTGACTGTCAAAATGTCCCCTTTCTAGTAATCCTTGGGCAAGTTTTGTCAGTTTTCCGACAGTATGCTGAAACCCACTGAGGTCTCTTTCAAGTCCCTCCAATTTTTTAAGTAGTGACTGAACAGAATCTTCATCTTTTCCAAAATCAGTGGAGCTCAGCAGTGGATACTTCTCACGAATCCATGTTTCGGCCTCATTCACTTCTGCATAGAACTGTAAACAAGGTATGAATTACAAACAAGTGACAAGATTTACACAATAACTTCCTCTTCAAATAAAAGACATTCTTTGATGGGAAAGCGAATATTCTTGTTCCTCAAATAGTTCTCAAATTTTAATTTTACACTCACCATCTGTGACTCAACAGCATCCAATAAACGTAAACGCCGAATACTGGCCAGATCCCGAAGATGTCCAAGTTTCTCTTGTAACTCTGCACTCACTGCTTCAATATGAGCAGCCTCAAAGTGCCCTGCACGCACCATTTTTTGAGCACGACTTGCAAGGCTTGACACAACTGGATCATGAGAAACTAATTCTGCTTCTAAGGCCTGTTGTAAGAACATTGCAAGAACTATATGTTAACATATCAATCATAGTAACCACAAGTAAAATAAACACTAAGTGAGAACATTTATAGAGAGCCAGTGAACACAATGAATAACCAAGGCCAGAAATGAGTAAGGAGGGTAGCACCCCAGACATCCAAGACCTGAACCACTTCTCTGAAGACACATTACATAAATAAAGTCTCATTCCCACTTAAATCACAATGATTATGTTCATAGCACAGAAAGATTTGTATGTTCTATTAAGCATCTCAAACTTAAGTTGCAGGACTGTTTGAAGCTATGAAATTTTGTCTGTCTTTCTAGCAAATTGATTGCATTCAGTTTTCTTCACTCAACCTTCAAGTAAAATAGTTATATCACTAATTAGCCTTCACCGATTGTTTATTAGTTGCTATTTATATTCTGAATCTTCAAATGTTAGACAATCATTGTAACAGATTAAAATGGAAACATACGGACTAAAATATCAGATCATTAGAACATTAAAATTGAAAATACACATAACACATGCATTTCAAAAAATCTAAATATATGTGTTTTAATTGATGTTTCTATTTTTATCTATACCAATGACTGTATCAAAAAGGAAGATACAGAAAATAAATAAAGAAAAATAGTTTATTAAATATCCTTTAAGAGGTTTCTGTTAAAGACATGTCAACAAACAATTAAATGCCTCAATAAAAATCCTGCCTTCAATTTTTGTGAGTCTGTTATTAATTTTTGATAAAATTTTAATGATATGATAATGTTAAAATTACACATTGTTTGTTTTTACCAGCCTCTATCAGAAAAAATATCATGAGCTGCCATTGAGCAGCAGTGATTTTCAGTAACTTTGGCTTCAATCTAATTGAGATGCTTTCTAGTCCAAGCTGTTAAAAAGGCATTAAGCTGCAGTTTTTTTCTAATTTAAAAAAAATCACCCAGAAAGTGTTGACCTTTTTTCAAGAACACAAAAAGAATAAGAATATATGAACAAGGAAAAAGAAGAAGTGTTATTAAAAAAAGTTAAAACTGCAAACAAACCTGATGTTTCTTTTGTAAACTCTGAACAGCTGTCAGACTATTTCCTAAGTCAGTTGATGCTGCAAGAGGTTCCTTTTCTGTAAGCCATTGCATTTCATCATCAACATCACGTAAGAATTGTTGTAGAAGAAGGGCATCCTCTAGATTATCTCTGCGAATCTGCATTGGTTCTTGAAGGGAGCAATATCTACAGAGTACAAAGAATTATTAAAATCTTACTTCATCAAACAAAAAGCTTATAAAATACTACAATTCAAAAGATTACATCAGAATTAGTGTAGAAATTGAAATACTGACATGCAGATTTTTTTTTATCTAGTCTAAGAGCAAGGAATAATGTTAAAACAAAAATAAATTAATAAATGGAAAAATCAAAATGTCCGTAATACTACAATGAAAATATTAATATATTTTAATTATCCTGTATGTACTTAAAACAATGTAAATGAAGAAATGTAGTTTATACCTTAGTCAACTGATTTAATTCTTCATATCACATATTTAATTAATTTTCTGTTTTATTGCAATGTTGTAGGACTTGTATTTCTTATTTGTAAAATACTTCTTAAATCACATCATTAAGTGAGAACAAAATAAGATTTAATTTTAATACTTTGCCAATTACAATCATCCATTTTTACTTTCTTTAATACATTATATGATTATTAATACCTCTTATTGACTGCAGCTGCACGGTCTTGAATTTCTTCTTTCATGAAATGATTGGAGCGTTCAAAAGCAGCTGCTGTGTCTTTCACTTGCTCCAAAGCCTCACTGTGACTGTGAACGTCACTTTCAAGAACAGCATGTCGCTTCAAGAGATGAGTCACACTCATCAAATCTTTGCCATGATCTTCAGATTGGAGCTGCGTTTCTATTTCATCCATCCAAGTTTCTAACTCTTCTAAAGTTCGGCTGAACAAAAGAGCCTAAGAAATATGCAGTAATGAAATTGAATATTGAGAATCTCATAAAAGAATGAAAATAACATTAAATGAACACAGTAAACCCTCTCTCAACTTTCAATTCGTTACCTGATAAGCATCATTTAGACGTTCTCTCTTCAAATGGCTTGTATCTTGCAGTTGTCTCCAAGAACCTTCCAATTCGTCCAACCTAGTCTGAATCTCCATGCTAGCAAAATGGCCAGCACCAATAAGAGATTCTCCTTCTTGTAAAACTGCACCCACTCTTCCTCTATTTGCACCTAACTCAGATTCAAAAGCTGCATGTTTTTGAATTTTACTCTGGAGATTTGATGGGTCTCTGTAATTTTCATCACCAGCTACTTGTTGTTTTTGATGAATCCAACCATCAACCTGAAAAATTACAACAAACATTATGTATAAAAATAATTGATTATAAATATACCCAATCATTCCTATAAATATAATTAATTCAACAGCTTGACATGAAAACAGAAAAACTATAGTTCATTTTGTATCTTCCTTCATTTTTGTTAAAAAGCTATTTCATTCAAAAACAATGCAGATGTTTATTCAAATTCAATGAAGATCATCTACAACAAAAAACACTACTAAGTTATTGGTTTTTTACTGAAAAATAAGAAAAGAAAGTGACAAATTAGAGAAATAATTGGGAACGAATAGAGGTAAAATTGGCAACAACACGAGTATTTTATAAAAATAAAATGCATGCCTCTTCTGATTTAGTACATAGCAAATAGTAAGCTTCAAAGTTCACCAGCCAATTATTCCTTTTTTTTATCCTCAAATAATCACAGCTTTTGACTACTGCATAGGTGATTCTTACCTCATACATGTTGCGAAGGAATTGCTGCAACTGCCGGGATTCCTGCAGACGATGTCTGCGTGCGGTTGCACTTTCCTTTAGGCGATCCCTACGTCCACACACTGCACTCAACCGCTGAGTTATTCCAGAGCTGTCATAATGATGATCTGCTAGTAACTCAGAAGCAAATCTTTCCAACTCTTCCACACGACCTGCTTGAGCAGCAAGAGTCTTTTCAAATGCCTCATGTTTCCGAAGTAGTACCTCAACACTAGATAACGAATCCTACATGAAACATAAAAACCTTTCTATAAGTAATGACAAAAACAGAATTTACACACAATGTTTCTGATGGAAAAAAAAATAATAATAAAACATTAAATTTGTTAATGGTTTAAAAGAATGGTACTGTATTAATTTTGCTGAAAAAAATTTATGTGTGATTTTTCTCTTGAGAGCAGTCTTCAATTTTTTTTTTCTTTCAGGGTAATAAACTACTACACTTTTCCATTTAAAAAAATCTGCATGACATTACTTAAAATTTATAGGAAATGCAATTAAAAAAACTTAAAAAATACACACAGATTCCTACAAAAACTAAAAAAATTGATATGGGATTCAAAATTGTATTCTCTTAAGGTATTATAATATATACATTCAGGTACAATACACACACAATATGATACAAGAAAAGAAAAGTATTACAATTAGCTATACTTACTCCAAGATCATCATTGTTAAGGAAAGCTTCTTTTGCTGCAAGCCAGCTTTCAACTTGGTCTGCTTGCTCTCGAAACAGTTGCAACTGATGTGCCTGGGTAAGCAAATGACGACGATCCTCCCATGCTGCACTCAAAGTACGACGGAGTTCTTCAAGTTTTGCTAAACTTGGTCCCAGTTCCTCATCACCAGGGGTCAAACGAAGCCCAAATTCTTTAAGAGACTTAAATGATTCCTGCCTTCCATCTATCTCTGCCTAAAAAGAGGAAATTTATAGATAGTTTAAAGTGGGCTTTGGAATGACACTACTTTTCTGGGGGCATAGTAAGATTGTCATATTGAGTCACAAGAAAGAAATGAAAAGAACACTTTTCTTTCAGCTCAACTACACATCAGAGACAAACTATGTTCTCTATGTTGTTTCTTGTATTTTGCTTGGCGAGATCCATATAATGGTGACAACAACAATTTAATAGTCCCACAGGGCTCAAGATATTGAATAGTAAACTTTCACATGTTCATTTCGGTATTACACCTTGGTGTCATGGAATGTAACTGTCACAGTTTTTCGTTCTTATTTATTGTTACAAATTATTATTATTAATATTAAAAACATTAGGTTAGCACTCAAGTGTGTGTCATTACAGGAATCAAGCAAACAATTATTTACCCTAAAAATGTCCCATTCCTGAATTTTTGATTACTTCTACTGTGTATGTTGGCCATGCCTCCACTTCATAATTTTTTTCAATTTTTTTAACATGTATTCAGATTGCACTTTACTGCCTTTATTAATTTTACAAATTTTGTGCAGTCCCCAATTGTTTTAAATGCTTTTTATGACTTGTAATTTCATTACTTACTTTCCTTTCTTGATGCAATTCTAATGCAGCTTCTGCTTCAGCAATGCTTCCTGGCAATTCTCTTGAACCCATTCGTTTAATTGTGTCAGCAACCCAAAGTTCTAAGTCATGAAGCTCAGCCTGAAATTTATGTTGAGTGTAAGCATTAACCAGAAGATCTTTTCTTCGAGCAGATAACTGTTGAAGAGATCTCCAATTCTCCTGAAGTTCTGACAATTTTGTCCGAATGGAAGATGATAAGTCAGGATGCTTCTGAACAAGTCTGCGAGCTTCAGTGTCATGTTCCTGAAAAAGCAAAATAAGGCATGTCATGAACTTATAAACAAAACAATGGGACTAGAAAATAGCACAGACTTTCTCATATTAGTTAGTTTCCTTATCCCTTAATAACAAT